TTTTTTTTTTTTTGTTTTTTTTTTTATTATAGAAATGGTACTAACATTCTACTTTTTTTATAGGCTGGACCTCTAAAAGTCTAAACTTTCCAGAATAGGTTATTGTGGGAATGGTGCTGGCGTTCCACTTCAGAAGTTTTTTATAAAAAGAGGAAAGAAATACAGGTACATCTTTACTTATAGGAGTATAATATTCCGTATAATAAAACATCATTACTTTTTATTTTTTGGGGGGTTTATTTTAATGAAAATTTGTTTATCTCATGAAACAGCCCGTGAAAAAGGAAAGGAAATACTTTATGAAGCATAATACTCCGAATCCTTATGGAAATTCTTTCTTTTTTAAGCTCTTTCTATTTTTTTTAATAAAAAGGATTACTTTTTTTTTATTTTTTTGTTTTTACTTTTACTTTTAGAGTTTATTTTAATAAAAATATTTATTTTACAGATATTTTTTATTTTTTAACGAAATTTTTTTGGTTTCTTTTTTAATAAAATTTATCACAATTTCAATGAGTTCCGCAACGCCTGTTTATAATTTTATCGAGTTAGGATTAGAAGAATATGAGGAAAATGAAATGGTACTTGATGTGGTACATGATTTAATGACATTTTTTAAAGATTCTACAAACTGTACTTGCCGAAATTCTTCTAATAAAAAAGATCTAAGAACCTGTTTTGAAAAAGTAGGATTTAAGCGTTTTTTTGAAAGACACTTGGAATTAAAAGCATTAGAAAAACATGAATTTGAACTTCATATAAAAAGCCAATTAATGGTCTTTGAAATTTCAAATGAAAAAGATGAAAAAAACGAAAAAGATAAAAAATCACGTCATTCATACCGATATAGCTTTAATATATCTTTACCACTTTGTAAACCTGCCTATATGAAATTATGCAATTTAAATGATTATAAACTTTTAACTTTACAAACTCATCTTCAAGAAAATGGATTAATTGAGCGTACTCATGGCAATACTGGACGTGTTTCAAGGCGAAATTCTAAAGTCTTTGTTGATTTCAATATAAAATCTTCTGTTAAAGAATATTTAGTACAATATGGAACTATTTATGGTTTACCATCTCCTATGAGACATCGTAATGATTCTGGAAATTTTATATATCTTCCAACTGGTGAAAATTATACTTCAATATATAAGAAATACAAAGAAGATTTTTATCTTGAACATGATGAAAGTGAAACAATCATTTCTTATTCTACATTTCGTAGACTTTGGCACGAATTAATACATAATCTCAAATTCCAACCTTCTGCATCTGATCTTTGTGAAAAGTGTGTAGAATTCAAAGCAAAAATGCAAGCAGCGAAAAGTGATATTGATAAATACAATATTATAAAAGATAAATATGAAGAACACCATAAAGCAGCAGATCTTGAACGAAAACATTATAATGATAATATCGAAAAAAGCAAACAGGATTTATCTATAGCACATATTTGTTATGATTGGGCACAAAATGTATCAATTCCATATTCACCACAGCAAGTTGGATCAATTTTTTTTAAAACAGCCTATGCTATTCATTTATTTGGTGTTTGCAAAACCGAAGGTGGAGAAAATAGACAAATAAATTTTGTTATTACGGAAGATGAATTTCCTAAAAGTGTGTCAAAAGGGGCTAATACAACATTAAATATGGTTTATCAAGCAATTAAAACATTTGATAAAGATGGAAAAAAAGATTTACATATTACATGTGATAATTGTATCGCACAAAATAAAAACAATTTATCACTTTTTTTTTGGTCTTAGTTGAGTATGTTAGGTTGGTATAATAATATAACAATTAACTTTATGATACCAGGTCATACAAAATTCATTTGTGATTCATTTTTTGGACATATAAAAAAAACTTATCGAAATCAAAAAGTTAATACTGTAGATGATATTGAAGATATTGTAAATAATTCATCAAAAGGTAATGAAGGACTTAGGTATAATGGTGGAATTGGATGGAAGTGGTTTGATTTTCAAAATTTTTTTTCAAAAAATAATTTTATAAATTTACCCCATATAACAAAATATCATCATTTTCGTTTTAGTAATTTATCAGAAGATTTAGGAAAAGTTTATTGTTCTAAAAATTCTGGTGGTGTTGAAATTTGCCATAAGCTTTTACGTGATGATAATAATTTTAATATAAATGAAAAATTAGATATTTTGGATGTTATGCATATATCTGAAGAAAGAAAAAAATATTTATATCAAAAAATTCGTCAAAATATAGAAGATCCATACAAAGATGTTTATTATCTTTAATATATTTGTATTTTTTATTATTTTTCTTAAATAAAAAAAGAAATTACTAATTTAAAGTTATAAATTCCTTAAAAAATTAATTTACTACCTATTGATCAATTGAAATAACTACCTATCAATGCTGAATTGATTAATATTAGATGTATTATGATGAGATAAGTCTAATAAGCTATTATCTGTCTTTGTATGATCGATAGGTAATGAATTACGGTACTTCGATTTTTCAAAAAAAATGTATGTCGATCATTTCCAAATCTATTTTTAGATTTTATGGCTGATTGTTACACAAAAAATTGATGATTTTTAAACTTCGATTTACTAATTTTGATAATAAGATAATATGCTATAAAATTTGCACCAAATGATTCTCATATGTCACAGATTCAGATGCACAAAAAATCTCAATTTTGGTAAAAAATATCTCTAACCCTTATTTTCCTAGCACAAAACCCATATTCTATTAAGCTTTAATATAGCTGCAATCAAAACCAATGAGATCGTCAAAGTTAAATGCAAAATTTTTCAAAATTTTTTGTCATTTAAAAAATACAACTTTTGACCAATGGTCAATCTTCAATCTTATAATATATAATTAATACTACTAAAATAAAGACGTTTTTTTGCATGGTCATCAAATGAAGATCCAAACTTTATAATTCCTCTCAGTCACGTGATAATTTACATGTACTTTAAATAATGATTATCATCACATAAATTATGATTTAAGCTCTTTGCAAAAAAAAAATTTTTATTAGAATAACTTCATTTTTCATAAAATTAGATGAGAACTGAATTTTCAGTAAAATTGCAGGTAAATTTGCCTGCAATGTTTTACCATTTAAGGAATAGGTTAAATCTAGAATTTAACGAATTATCATATGATGGTCATTATGGTGAAAATATAGCATTTGTTTTACAATTATTGAACATATTGTTAAGAATGATTAGATTAAAATATTTAGATACTATTGATACTATTTATTAGAAAAAACTACAAAGCGTTAAGAATACAAATAAATAATAATTTTCATAAGATATCTGATATAGTAAAATAATAATTTACCAATTCCCAATATAGTTTATATCATTCTAAATAATTTAATACATATTATTTTATTAATTTTTGTTAACTAATTATTACCTATATTAAATTCTTAATTATAAACAAAAAACTGCTGTACCCATCTTTAATTTACTTAGTAATACATTATAATACTAAAATTTTCTATTTAACAAACTCATTGGTCCTGGATGGGTAACAAAAAGTAGTATTACATAAATTTTCTTATCATAGTTTTTTAAGATAATTTTCACTAAAGCCAATTAATACATAAATCAGATATTATTATAGCGTCTAAAAATTCATTCATTGTTGAAAGACAAGTTCCATTTTGTTTTTCAGACAATCAACAATTTCTGTCAATTCAAGTTTTATAGCGGCATGTAATAATTCAAAGAAATCTAACAGTTCATGGTCCCAGAATTGGCAGTTATTTTTGGAATTGAAATTTCACAGTATTGGTAAAATTTTGCAGAAAAAGGGTGATCGTACATATAAAATTGAAAAATGGCCTTTAAAGACTTTATTGTCAACCTTTATTGTTACGTCCTTGAATTCATTTTCTTCGTAAAGATTTTCAAAATCTTTATTAAATTTGTAAAAAAATTGACTCGAATCAAAGGAATTTAGTTAGTTTAAATTATATATAATAATTATTATTTAAATAAGTAATAATACAATGGAAAACAGATTCATGTAGCTAACTTGGGTCTTAGTTGTCTAAGAAAATAATATTTGGTTGTGATATATAAGTTGCTAAAAGAGCTGTTAGGCTTTGTTGAACTGATTTTAACACATTTGGGTCTTTTGACCTACATTCCAGATGTTATTTGAAAATTTTAACAATTGTATTGGCATTACTAATACAATTGGTTTGTCTTGCTTGCAACATGTTGAAAAACTCCAAATAGATTCCAACATGAGTGTTCATTTGACTCCAAGTATTCTGTTATATATAAGGCTTCCATAACTAATGAAAAAATTAGGTTAGAAATCTATGCAAATAGAAGTGATAAAGATACAGTTATTAACCTTAAAACTTTTTTTCTGCTAAGTTCAAAGATAGTTTAGCCATATATTTTTAATTTCATGATTGAGATAAAAAAGAAACTTATAGATCAAGTTATAAATTAAGATAGCATGATACGTGATTTTTTATTTATTAATGATACAAAAAGCAGTATTACAAATAGTAGTACAGTTACACCTTCATAAGTGTATGCACCTGGGCCTGGCCATACATATGCAGTTAGAGAAGGTGTGCACTTAAAGAACAGCTAATAGAAAAATCAATATTAGTAATTGGAGAAAATATTTATTTAAATTCACTTTTATTTTATATTTTCATTTTAATAAAAGAATTGCATATACAAAAATGATCTGTGGCGTAAAATATATAATAAAATTAAAAAGATTGAAAAATATTTTTTATTCAAAAAAAAAGTAAATTGTCAAATTTATCTATTTTAAAGAACCAAACAGTTATCGATAATTGGTCAATATTACATAATTGTCATGTGAATGCATTTATGAAGAGTATTCTGATATACCCAGAATTCAGAATTACATGCATATGTAGAATATATATAGAGGGTGTGTATTTAGCTCTAAGTCCCTAGCTTAGAACACACATCAAATGACTAAAAATAGGCAAAAAAAATGGCGCAAATTGCATAAACTATTTGCAAATTTATATAAACTATTTACAAATAGTATAGGTTAATTCGCAAATAGCCAAAAACAGCCAAGAATAGCCAAGAATAGCCACTGCTTTTCGCATCATTTTTTTTGCCAATTTTTAGCATTTTGACCTGTAAAACCAAGCCATGGCATGCATATAGGGAGGGAATGCACTTATAGAGGGTACACTTATGGAGGTATGACTGTATTACAAATAATACAAAAAGCAGTAATAACAAATAGTACAAAAAGCAGTATTACAAATGGTATAAATTTTTTTATATAATTTTCAGCTAAGCCAATTAACAATTTATTCATTATTGCAAGACAAGTTTCATTTTATTTTTCAAATAATTAACGATTTCTGTCTGTTCAAGTTTTATAGCAGCATGTAATAGATCGAAGAGATTTAACAGTTCATTGTCTAGTAAGATCATACCAGAATACATATATCTATAACATCAATAATTAAATATATCAGTTTTTTTTTGATAGTGTTTCAAATTTGAACTGCATCAATCCACCTATCTTAGCATTACTTCAAAAGAATTGGCTATTAATTTTGGAATTGAAATTTCATCGCATGTTCTATGTTTCAGTAAAATTTCATGGAAAAAGGGTGATCGTGCATATAAAACTGAAAAATGGACTTTAAAGACTTTATTGTCAACCTTTATCATTACGTCCTTGAATTCATTCTCTTTATAAAGATTTTCAAAATCTTTACAAAATTTGTAAAGAAATTGACTTAAATCATACAACCTAGGGGAATCATGTTCTTCTTAATTCTAATTTTTTAAATAAAAAAAATAAAGAATTTAGTTAGTTTAAATAGTATTTAAATTATATATGAATAATTATTATATAAATAAGTAATAAACTATACTAATAGGACCCCGAAAAATACATATAAAAGTCAGAGATGATCGGCAAAATTTTGTCTTAAAATAAGCAAATGTTTTTACTAAGATCAATACGCAAAGTTGACTTCTGACTTTATAATTTATATTAGAATAAGCAAATTTTTTTTATGACATTTGTATATTAAAAAAATGAAATCATAGCTTTTTTTAAATTTAATTAGTTGTATTTAGAATATACTTTCAGTAGGACCCCGGATATCTCCAAAACAGGTCATAAGTCACACTTTCGGCAGATTGGCCCATTTTTCAGGGGCTCAAAAAATCGTTTTTTGTAAATATCTCGGCATTCAGTAGTCCAATTTTGATGAACTTTTTTTTAAATTGTAGAGCTAAATGCTGTCTCTTATACACATCTAGATGTGTATAAGAGACAGGCATAGAATATTGATAACATTTTAAAGTTAATGAAAAGTCAATATAATTTATAAAATCATTTCTAAAAGAAAATCCTATTTCTAAAGAAAAAAAATATTAATACTACTTTCACATATAAAACAAAAAAAATTCCACCCTATTTTCAACTTACTAAAAATTTCAGTTTAGTTTTTAATCTAGAAACCATTTCTAATAGAAAAAACAATAGAAATGTTAATAATACTTCTAAAATAAACAAAAATAAAGCTAAAAAATTTTTTACTTACAGTGAGCATTGGAGTTCCAGTCTGAATTTCAAGTTCCTAAGAAAAAAATAAAAGGAATATTATTATGGTAATATTTCCAAAAAAATTGACTATACTTTCCTCTTAACTCATATTTTTCCAAGATATTGGTATCTAAAATAATAAATTTTAGATTTAAGAAGTTGCTTTTAAAGAAAAATAATAAAAAGGAATATTAATATCATTCTAAACCAAATATTTTTTTTTAATAAAATGGCCTGTTGTTAAAAAAATATAACAGTAAAGGCCAAAAAAAAATTTTTATTGAATAAAACGGTTTGTTACAGACCAAAAAAAAATTATTTTATTTTTTTCTTTCAATAAAACGGTTTGTTAAAAGTCAAAAAATTGAAAAAAAATTATCTATTATCAATCAGATTAGTCGTCAATTACGTATTTTCAAAAATTTATGTATTATACTATGCGTAATGCTGCTTATTAGGGAATTCCAAGGCATTATGCTGCTAATTAGTAGAATTCCAAGGCGGTATGCTACTAATTAGTAGAAAATCGCTGGAATTCCAAGGCGGTATGCTACTAATTAGTAGAAAATTGCCGGAATTCCAAGGCGTTATGCTGCTAATTAGTAGAAAATCGCTGGAATTCCAAGGCGGTATACTGCTAATTAGTAGAAAATTGCTGGAATTCCAAGGCGTTATGCTGCTAATTAGTAGAAGACCGCTGGAATTATATTGATATATATATATATATATTTTATTAAAAAATACCGTTGACTACGCAAATTAAAATATATGACATATATAAAAATGATTGTTATTATGCAAACTATATATATAACCTTTTAAAAAATCTCAAAATCTATGCAAATAAAATTTTATGACTTTTGGAAATTTTACTAATATGGTTAAGCAAACTTACATGTGACCTTTATATGTATTTTTCGGGGGTCCTATACTAATTAGCTTTATTAGTAAATATTAAAACCAAATTCATGTAGTTAACCTGGGCAATAATTAATTCTTAGCTGTCCAAGAACTCAACAATATTTGGTTATGATATATCAAGTTGCTGAGAGAGCTGTCAGGCTTTGTTTTGAGTTGATTTTAACACATTTAGATCTTTTAACCTACATTCAGACGTTATTTAAAAAAAATTTTCAAGTAGATTCCAACATGAGTATTCGGTTGACTCCAAGTATTCTGTTATATATAAGGCTTCCATAACTAATGAAAAAATTAGGTTAAAAATCTATGCAAGTAGAAGAGTTTTATTTCCAAAAGTGCATGAATAACAAGTAGTTAGTTAGTTAGACTTATACTAAATCTAACTATTTGCAAGTTAGTGATGCTAAGTTTAACTATTCACAAAGCAAAAATTTACAAAATAGTTAGTTAGCTCAAGTGATTAGATTAGGAAATACTAAGTTTAGCTATTCACAAAGCGTGAGAAACGCCAAGTAGTTAGCTAATTCAGAACTTACTAATCAGCTAATTATTCATAAGGCATAATAATAATTGCTAAGTAGTTAGTTATTCATAGGTCTACTATAAGGAAGCATAGCTGGTTCCTCTTCCAGAACTAGCAGACTTTATAGACAATTACAAAAAAAAAACTCCTCAACTAGCCTATTTTTTAGGATTCAGATGCACAAAAGTAAGTAATAATAATAAAAGAAACGGGTAAAAAGGTACTTTTTTTAGTTGTGCTTATTAGTTATAAGAAGAGACTAATATATTTTTTGGTTACACTTATTAGTTACAAGAAGAGATTAATATATTTTTGGTCACGTTCATTAGTTACAAAAAAAAACTAATAATAATAAAAAGAAGCAGGTGGGAATGTATTTTTTTTAGTCACGCTTATTAGAGAATGATGCAATAGAATATACAATATCATTTATATATTTGGAAAACTCAATAGGTGCTACATGATCGAGTATATTGTATTCAAGTGATTTAATCAAAAAATAATTGGCGTAAAAGTCTGACCTAAGGCCTATCTCAAGCAAGCTTCATGGTTAATTAAAAAAAAGATAGTAATCAATATTTTTTACTCTTTTTATCAACCTCTATCGCGTAAAGAAACTTTTGATCAATCATTTCAGCCAAATTTTCTGAAATCATCTAACCATCTTTTTTAGAGTTACACAATAGGCTGGACCCTAAACAGTCGATTTATATTGAAGTTTTTCCTCTTGCTTTTTCTATTTTATTTCATCAATAACCTTTTTCTTATTCATATTATTTAAGAAAGCATCAATTTCCCTTTTCTCTGATATCTCTTAATTCTTGATGATCCTTAATCTGCAGGCGAGAGTTAAACCATCCTGGCCATGTATATAAATATGACTCTCGTTCCTCTGATAGTTTTAACCAACCATGAGTTTTATGAATAGGTAAAGAGTTAATAGATACCTTTAATTAGAGGTATGCTCCAAAATCCGTCAATCTGGATATCCGGTCATCCATCCGAAAATTGACCAGATTCGGATTGATCCAATTGTGTCACTGGATTAACCAAATGGATCAATGAATATCTGTTCAATTCTTGTATCACCGGTTTGACCAGATTGACTGGATAGTTCAACGGATATCCATTTAATCCATTCAATCTGTTCAATTTTTTTTTCTTAAAAACATAATTCATATTTATTGTTTATAATTTATTATATAGTAATGTAAATTTATTTATTAATTTGAACCAAATAAAATTATTACATTGCTTAAAGTAAACCCACCCACACACTTACCCATATCACAATAGAAAAGAAAAGTTAGTACGTTTCTTCAAAGTAAATTCCAAAAGAACGAACCCCACACACTTACTCAATATTCCAAAGAACTCAGGAAGCTGAAATCTACAAAAAAGAATAAAAAAAGAAACGTAATACGTTTCTTCAAAGTAAATTCCAAAAGAACGCGCTCCCACACACTTAAACTTACCCAATATCCAAAAGAACCTGAAAAGCCAAAATCTACAAAAAAGAATAAAAAAAGAAACGTTAGTATGTTTCTTCAAAGTAAATTCGTAAATAACGCACCCTACACACTTACCCAATATCCCAAAGAACCCGGGAAGCTGAAATCTACAAAAAAGAATAAAAAAAAGAAACGTTAATACGTTTCTTCAAAGTAAATTCCAAGAGAACGCGTTGCCGCACACTTACCCAATATCCCAAAGAACCCGGAAGCTGAAATCTACAAAAAAAGAATAAAAAAGAAACGTTAATACATTTCTTCAAAGTAAATTCCAAGAGAATGCGCTTAAAAACACTTACCCACTATCCCAAAAAACTCGGGAAGCTGAAATCTAAAAAAAAGAATAAAGAAAAATGTTAGAAAAATAAATAAATAAAAAAAAAAATAAAAAGACCTCCTCTAACTTACCTTCAAGCCGAAATCCAGTTCCAGGAAGGTGTTCTCTAAAAAAACAAAGTAAAGGGAACGTCTTAAGCCGTTTAAGCCGAATTCTGAAGGGAAAAATGACCGAAAACGCTCTCTCTATATTTTTATATTTTTTCTATATTTTTATATATTTTTTTTTTTTTTTAAAAAAAAAAAAGCAAAAAAAAAAATACCAGATTTGACCAGATTATCTGATCAATCTGGTCAATCTGATCATCTGTATAACATCCGATCAATCTGGTATTATCTAACAGATCCATCCAGATTTTCCGAAATCTGTTTATTCTTAATCCGGATCATTCGATCCAGTCAAAAAATGGATGACGGATTAAACGGATTTCACCGGAGCATACCTCTACCTTTAATACCACATCATTTATTTTGCAAACAGGCATATACTACTTAAGTTAAGCTATAACAGAATCAGGTATGATACAGGTTCTTCAGAAGAGAAACCATTCATTTCCTTATTTTCCAATAGTTTTCTATGATTCTCTGCATCTGAATTGAAGTTAAATAAACTGTTTTAGAAGAATTATCATTTTGTAACTGCTCTGTTCCACTTTCGTGACTCTAACAAGTTTGGCGGTATCTGTCTTATTTTTCTCTAACTTCTCAATTCAACCTAAGTTTATTGTTCTCAGCTTTATATTTGGTAGTCTCTTCTATAACTTACTTTAGTAGCTTAGTTTTCTCAGCCTCAAGCTTGGTAACATGTTGCTTTAATGATTCATATTGTTAGTGTTTAAATCGGTAAAATGTGTAGGTTATTTTATTTTTATCAACTTATTAACCTTTTTGTCAAGAAAAAGTAGGTTATTTCATCAACCTGTTAACTTGTTAATGGGTTTTGCCAAGAAAATCTTTTATTAATATATGTGAAAAATAAATACAAATGTTCAGAATATAGCCTGTGATACATATTATTTTTGATAAAAAATTTTCTGCAGATTATATGATTATTCCTTAATAAATTTTTTCATCCTTGCTCTCTTACTACCAAGAGAGTCATCAATCTCTATGGCTTTACCCTATCCTTCAACAAGTCCACCTCTCATAACCTTTTTAACATCAAGACAAAGTTCTGCATTATCTTTTATTTCATAGAGGTAGTCAAACTCATCATCAAATGTCACAGATACTTTTCTTTTTCTTGTGTTTATATAGAAAGAACTTTCAAGTTGCATTATATTCTGTATGAATCCTGCCACCAAATCCTTTTATTTTTTCTCTGTTATAGCTATCAACTCCTTATTGATGACATCTATGACTTTTTTGATTGTGTAATTGACTTAGCCTGATGCTTTTTCGCCTACCATTTCAAACGTATAATAATCATGTGCATAATCAATAAAAGTGGATAAATAATACCAAACACTTAGTCAAATATGTAAAATTAATACGACTGAATTTGAAACGAATAGCGTACACAAATTCTATTATTACTTAATATGGAATAAAATCTTTTCATTTGCAATACATTGGAATTAATACAAATGTCATCAGGCCCTTAATTTAGGAATACATGAATATTTCTATAGTAAAATGTTTATTATATTATTCTTTTGTTTGATATCCCTTTATTCTAACACGTATTTATTAACAACCCTAAAATTATTCCTAAAATATCGCAGTACAATATTATGATTTAACCTTGATACATTCTCATTCAAAAAATTTTTTCTTGGTAAATTTGAACGTATAGGTAGTTTCATTTGCCTGAAATATTTTGCTAACTATTTAATAAAAAAATAATAATCCTTCATCATTTTGCGTTGTTCACTTCATGAGATCTTTCAGTTTGAGATGTTTTATATTTCACAAGATTTTATGTTATAAGATTCTTAGAATCCTGGAATGAAAAAAATGGTTAATAGCATGCAATGCAGCTGTAATAATGCAGCATGGCTAAAGTTAATACATTACGTACTGTACACCATTACTTAAAAATTTATACCTTAATTGTGTAATTGATTCGTTCAGAGATTTATTTTTCAAAAAGTTCCCATTAAGAGCGTATACATTTTTATTTCCTTTTTGAAGTTTAGTATGGACTATTTGGCATGACATACTCATTTGCTTCAAACTATCCAAATATGAAATTATAATCTTTTAACATGATTAATTTTGTGATACATTCTTAACGTCATCCTGAATCTCATAGGCTGAAGGAGCAAAAAAGCGGAATCACATATATAACAAGATTATATTCAAAAGAATAACAGTTTGAACTTATCAATATTATTTTATTATACTAATATAATTCTTATTGCAATTAAAAATCTTTCTATTACCATTTTGTATAAATTCCATATATCTATATTAGAGATGTTAACGGTCCAGTCCAGTCTGTCTTGATCCAGTTTTTATCAGTTCACGGTCCAGAACCAAACTGAAGATTGGGACCGATCAGTCCTATAGGACCATGGTCTAGACTATACTTTTCGTCAAAATGACAAAATACTAATTAAATTTATTTTGACAGACGTAATGTATTTTGACAGACATAATTAATTCATAGTAATTTTATAATAAATAGTAAATTGGTCTGTTCGCCAAAATATGACGTAATGAATTAGCGGAGAAGTATAGTCTGGACTGCGGTCCCATAAAAAAAATTTTTAGCGTTAGTTTGTTACTTCGCATAATTTCTACCAGAATTAACAAAATTTCTTTTTTTGGAATTTTGTGTAACTTTGCGCAACAATGCACTTCAATTTTCACAAAAAATAAAAATTTCCTTTTTTGGAATTGTGTAATGTTAAACTGCCATAATTCGGGCTGGCATTATGAATTTTGATTAAAAAAATTTCTTATAGGACTGTTTATAGGACTAACGGTCCTATCGATCCAGTCCTAATAATGCGGTCCAGTCCAAAATTGGTCCTTAGAACTGGACCACAGTCTGGTCAGTCCAAACTGGACCGTTAACATTTTTTGTCTATATGATTCATCAACTATGTAAATCTCAAGAAACTTCTTTAGCTAACTAATAAAACAATTTTACTAATATTTTAATAATTAAACTGATACTTATAATTGAATATTTATGAGTCAAAAGCAATAATAATACTAAAAGTGGCTAATTAATGTAAGTAATTAATAAAACCAAAATATATTATAAGAAATGTTTCATATTGTAATAAACTCAGGCATAATCATAACTACCTAGTGGAACTGACAAAAATTTCATGATCACATGACCAATTTTGTCAATCATACTTAAAATGGATACATATCCGCCAATTTGCAGAATTGAGGATTAATCATCCTTTAGTTACTTAGTTTATGATAAAAATATTCCAAAAACTATTATGGAAATTAAGGTTGCCAGGTGAAACTCATTTGAGATTTCGCAAAATGTTGAAACTTTACTTAATGATATTTAAACTGGTGACGAAACGTTTTGACAATATCAAAATGTTGAAACTATGCGAAATGTTGAAACTGTGGCGAAATGTTTTAGCCAATAAAAATGTGATGATCTTGATAATCAGGTGCTATCAATCAGAATATTTTAATTTACCAAAACTCATTTTCAATAAAATGTTGCTCTTTGCTAGCAATACATTAGTAATATTACAGTTAGCAATACATTACGTTAGCAAAAATTATGTTAGCAATATTTACTTTGTGTAAGTTAAGGAGACTAAGAGAGTGAACTATTAATAGGTACTGCACGCAAATTGTTTAATACACTTGCTTTTGTACCAGTTAAAACTGCTCATACACAAAGACTTGCGGCCAAACAAAGATCCCCTTTAACAAAAATGAATAATTTCTCTTTATTAATTAATTCAAAAGAAACTCTGCCATTACAATACAAAGGCCAAAGCTTTATTTAGTACAATGGCAGGTATGTATTTACATTTTTAGTTAAAAAATTTCATCATATTTATTTGGTATTATATTTACTAATTTAAATTATTCAAACCAAATCTTAATAGTTAATACTATATAATGATAATGGCTAAGTTATCAATGTGACAATGTGTAAATTACTATAAGGGGTACGCGAAATTATATTATTCATTAAAAAAAATTTTTTCGCGTCTCTTTTTTCAAATTTTAATTTTTTATTAAACATTTCTTTAAATGGATTCAATAACACCTATTGATCTAGAAACTTAAAGATCTGGAAAGAAAAAACACGCAGGTGGATGACCTTTAGGACCAATTTGGCAGCATTTCATCAAAAAAATCGCAGTTTCTCCTGGAAAATTTGAAGCTGAGTGTAAATATTGTTCAAAAACATGGAAACACGGCAAAACACCTATTTTAGAGGAACATCTTGCAAACCATTGCTCAAATGTGCCGCAACTTATTTTACGTGAATATATGGAGAAGGTTAAAAATCGGGAAAATACTTCTAACAAAAAAAGAAAGGTTGATAAGTCTGTGATCGGTCAAACTACTATAACAGCTTTTCATGATTCAACCAACCTTCCAGAAGCAAGGATAAATCGAATCAATTGTGCTCTTGTGAAATTTTTCATTTATTGTGGGATAGCGTATAGAATTGTGGAGCACCCTTTTTTTATTGATTTTTTAAAAGAACTTAACGCTGATTATGATCTTCCAACACGAGAATATTTATCTGGCCGTTTACTTGAAACTGAATTATGTAATGTCAATGAAAAGATGAATGAGGATATTATGAATCAGCATAATTTGACTCTTGGTAAGTAAATTATGATTCTTTTACCTTTTCTATTATATTATATTATTAATTTTAAATTTTCTTATTTCTTTTATTGTAAAGCTCTGGATGGATGGACTTCTGAAAGTCACTAATCCATCTGGAACTTTATACTTCTCACGCCATCACGAAAGGAGTATCTGTACCAACTTTCAGATCTATCATTAGATTCGCATACAGTTGAGTATTTGGCTGTACAAATTGAAGAAGTTATCAAAAAAGTGAAACCTGAACGGATTTCTGCAATTGTGTTAGATAATGCAACCAATATTAGAAAAGCAAGAAAGATTATTAATGAAAAGTATCCAAAAATTGAGAGCGTTCAGTGTATATTACACTGCATTAATTTAATTGCATGTGATATAGTTAGCCACAATTTTGCAGATAGATTACTTCGTAGAGTAAATATATTATTAACCACCTTTTTTCGCAATTCACATATGGCTGGTAAGAGATATACATTAATCTTGCGAATTAGCAAAAGATTCAATATTCAAATATTAATTACATTAATTAATTGTTGATAATATAGGTGGTAAATTTTGAAAATTGATTGAAGAATCTGGCATTAAAGGCGGTGGTCTTAAATCGTATTGCATAACTAGATGGACCACTTCAAGTGAATCAGTAAATTCCGTTTTGAATTTAAAACCAGTTCTTGAAAAGGTAATAATATATTAAAATATTATCGAAAATAATAAAAAGATTAAAATTTAAAGTACAAACTTTAATTTTAAATATTTATATATTTTTAGATGGCAAATGAGTATGAGAATCTTTTAACCAACTATCGTATAAAGCTAATTATTCAAGAACGAAATTTTTTTTCAGATCTTGAAATATTAGCCTTTGTATTAAACCCATTACGAAAGGCTATTTTTTTTTTAGAATCCAGAAGTGCAACTTTAGCGGACTGTTATTTAAGTTTGGCTAAACTTGGAGTAGTTCTTAAAAATTTGTCACGAAGCTTTCATTGTAGCTTTCGTAACCATTGCTATGATGTGATAAATAAGTGATTTGAGGAATTTAATGATGATAAATATCTTCTTTGTTTCTATTTACATCCTCTATTTCGAGATAAGATTATTATATAATTAATCTTAATTTAATTTATTAATTTAAATTCAAAATTTACAAATTTACTTATATTAATAAATACCTTATTAGATGTTCCTTTAAAAAGTGGTGTTTATGCAAGATTAGCCAAAACAGCTCTGTCTATTGGTCAAAATTTAGAATTTGATCTTGAACAATCACGCGCATTATGTTCACAATTGAGCCAATATAGGAAAAAAGAACTACCATTTGATTTGGAATTTGGTTATGGATTTCAAAAACCAATTAATTGGTGGAATCTAATTGAAACTAAACCTGATCCAGAATCTTTACCTTTAGTTGCTTTACATTTTTTTTCAATTTGCCCAAATTCCGCATCCTGTGAGAGAGGTTTTTCCAATTTAGGATGACTCACCAATAAGCGTCATTTACAACTAGGAGTCAAGACTTTAGAATCTATGTGCAAAATGATTACTTATTGGAAATCTAATGCAAGAAAAGAATTTGGTTTTTTCGGTCAAGAAGCAAAGAACAAATTAAAATTAAATAATATTGAATTAATTCAAAAAGTTACCGAAGCTTTAGCTGAATCTGATAATATAGATGAAGAAGAGGATAACGAATATGAAAATAACTCGTTTGATAAATCTAGAAAAACCTATACGAAGAACAATAAATGGTGAAATTATTCCAAATGATAATGTGATTGTGTTAATTGAAAATATTTGGATTGAAAATGAAATTGATTTATCAAATGATTTAATTTTGAATGGTATTGGTAATATACCTAAAGATTTAGATGATGATTTTATTGATAATGAAAAAAATAATAATGATGAAAATATTGTTTTAAAAGATGATGAGATTGTTGATAATACAAATGGTAGGGGTATATTGAATTACAATGTTAATGACTTATTAAATAAATATGTAAATGAAAATCAATAAATAATTTGTAAATAAAATTAATAAAGTCATTTTAAACACATAAAATTTTAAAATTTTATTACTTTAAAAAAATATTTGTACAATTTTTATGATTAATTAAAAGAAATCTGATAGAAAAATAAAATGTGAGAAATTTTTAATTACACGAAAATCAGATCAAATGTTTTTCTGCAATTTGGTAAATTCGGATAAATGTATTCTAACTTTTATAGGAAAAGATATACATAATATACTAATTCATATGATTTACTATAGTAAATGGCGAAACTTTATTAAACTACTATATAAAAATATGTCTAAACTTTTCGCAGTTTCGCAGTTTTGCAATTTTTTTACTTTTTAACAAAATGTTTAAACTAGTTTCGATTTCAACACTTGTCTAAACTTCCAAGTTTCACCAAGCAACCTTAATGGAAATAATCAGATGGACAATACTATCACGTGCATATAATATTTGTAATAAGCGTACGTGAAATTTTCAAAAAACTCATATATTTTAGCTTCCTATTATTTAAACCAAACAAAATTATGCTTAATTGAAAGCTCTATTTGAGTAGAATCTACTAATAATATTTTCATAAAAATAAATTTTATATTAGTTAAGTTATTAATTTTGTAATATATTATTTAGAGTAAATTTATTCATCGCACGTGCGATGCATCGCCACTTTCCTTTTTTGTAAATTATTTATGTTGATCAACCTGCTTATACATCGCCACCCCCCTTAAAATGGCAATGATAAACATAAAAATTTGCATCGCACGTGCGATAAATAAATTATTTCTATTATTTATTATTTAAAAAAAAATTATTTTTTCTGTAACTTATAATTCAAATATAGTAAAATTATACCAAAATAAAGCTTTAAATAAAATAATTCTAATAATATTAAAATAACCCTATTATTGACAAGGAGTTAAAGAGATTACATAAGTTTCCCACTATCAGATTCTTGAATAAAATTTGCCTAAGTTTAAAATAAATGATAAAACTTTTTATTACTTAAAATTCTTTAAAATATGATATAAAATAAACAAATAAATAAACAAATAAATCATACTAAGTTTTGCTTTAAGTTCTAGGCTTTTACACTTTTTTACAACTTTACTACATGTTAAAAACCTTTAGAAACAAATAAAAATAGTTACTTATTATATTTAATGTACAAATAATGTGAAAGACTTTTCTATATTATAAACCCATCTAAATGTTAAAAATCCATCTTCTTTTGCGTTATTTATTTGTGTTTATAGATAGTATATTCTTTATTTCAAAAGTAAAAGTTCCATTTTTTTTATCAGTCTGCAAAAGATGATCATGTAATGCAATTAAAATTAAGGGTTGTAAAACAAATATCATGTTTTTCAAAATTAAATTGTTAAATCCTTAATTTAGACCAGTTCCAAAGATCGGCGCATATGAAATTAATTTTAATGAAAAATAAAAAATAAGAATAAAATACAACATATATTTTTTAAACTTATATAGTGTGTGTATTTTTGAATGCTAAAATTTGTTAAAACCTACCTTTATTGCCTAAGTAAATCTGCAGAGCAAGCAAATTTAGATGTAGTATATAAATTTTAAAATTAAATATCTGTAATAAGTTTTATTTTTTATTTTTTATTTAACAGTAATAGTTAGCAAATACAAATTTTATAAACATATCAAAAATGAAAAAGTAAAATAAAAAAATGAACTAAACTATCAGAAGAATCTACTTCGACGGTGGGGCAATTAAACACAAAACTATTAAAGATATAACCAACTACACCTAAAAACCATTTCTTTAATTAACCCACTACCTCCCATACACTAGCCGATCTGTAATAAGTTTTATTCTAATAATAATTTTTTTTGTTAAATCTGTTTACCATTTTTGGGAATGATCGATAAAATTGGTCACGTGATCACAAAAATTTTAGTACCTGCGAAATAAACAATTCAGTCATAAAAAAATATTATCATGTAATCATTGTATAACATCATGTCACACCCTCTTTTCATTTGAACATTAGTGGCAAACAAATGTCATAGTGACGTAGATTTTTAATTATATAAATTTCAAACTTACCTACATTATCCTTGCTTTCTTCTAAATTTTCTTAAAATTTATAAACAAGTTATACTATGTTTGTGTCTGTGTATACACCAGCAAGTTATTACATGCAATTTAGTGACAAGTTAAATGAATTGAAAATGAAATGAATCAGTTTGCATCTAACATCTCTACCCATGAGGAGTCTTTGGAAAAAAAGTATGAATAAAACTGGAACATATTTTACTAAGTTGAAATCACTTAACAAAGAGCAACTTAAATGGGATGGTGAAAAAGGCTATAAAAGAAACTCATGGTATAATCAAGCAACAAGGAGAGGATATAAAAAGTTTTATACCTATTATGCAGAAACATCTAGAATTTATGAAAGAATTTCAAAATAAGATGGAAATAATGGGAAATAAGATGGGAGTAATGAAAAATGAGATGGAAGTAATGCAAAATGAAATTAATAAAATGAAAATATTGTGTGAATATAGAGACTGGATAAGAAATTATATAATAATAGTTAAAAGAGAGGCAAAGTTCAATAATGAAGAATTAGATTGTATCACTGATTATTGGGAAAAAGAACAAGAAGACGAGGAGCAAAAAGACGAGGAGCAAAAAGAAGAGAAGCAAGAAGATGAAAAGCAAGAAGACGAGAAGCAAGAAGATGAGAAAGTTGACAAGAGGCAAAAGGACAAAAAGGAGAAAAATAATGTAACAATAAAGTTAAAAAAGTTAGAAGTGTTCTTGCAAAATGATTCCTTAACATTGTCAGAATTTATGAAGCTGTTTAGAGTGCGGGAAGAAAGTAATAACACTCTTCATAGAGATGTGCGAAATCTGAGGAAAGAAAAAGATAAATTGAAGGATGGTAACTTTTCAAAGGATCTTGAACAAATTAAGGAATCATTAGATAAAATATTAGATGCAATATTAATTCAAGTCAAACAATGAAAAAAGAACAAAGAAAACAACAAAGAAAATAACAAAGACAAGCAAAGAAGATGGCTAATAATTCAAAGTAACAGATTTGTTTTCTAAGAATATTTGAAACCAAATTGCAAAGCTAAATGGCAAGTTCCTGTAAAATTATATTAATAACATCATCTTTTTTATTCTTGCTTTACATTGTTTATTAGAAGTTTTTTATATATTATTTTTCATGTAAAGTTTCAGATTTACTCATAAATAGTCTAGATTGTCTAGCTTTTTTCGTTATTTTCAATTTATTTCTATACATGTTATGAATTATTTCTCAGAAAATAATAATATATGTTAAATGTAATTTGCGATTTCATCTCAAGCTAAAGGAGAAAGAACTGAGCAAATGTAATTTATATCACTTGTAAAAACATTACAAATAAATAAATAAAAACATATTTCATTGAAAATTAAAAAGTTGGGTCCTGTTATCACCAGACATTGAAGATAGAGCCTTTATGGCTAAGATGACTCGTTACTAAACAAAGTCTACCTACGGAGTCAAACGATCACTCAACAGTGCACACATAGAGTACTACCGGTATGACGAGTGGTTTGTAGTTTAATTATATTAGAGTAGTTATTAGGGAATTTTACTTTGTATATATTTTCTTTATTTTTTTTTACTTTAATAAAACTGCAAATGCGCTGCGAAAAAAAAAAAAAAGAAAATTAAAAAGTGATATCAATTTATTAATTATTTGAGACTATATTTTTATTTTATTAGAACCTGATTGATGACCGATTGGTATCTGATTTATTCAATTTAATACCAATTAGATGATGGTTGATTAATTCGACACCAATCAACCATCAATTAGGTACTTTACATTCCTTAGCAAAGCCCGCTAACTTTTACAATTGGTCTTATTTTACATTCATATCATTCAAATTTATCATCGTGACAGTGATGGAAGTAGAAGCGAATGTGAGCATTTTTCTCTGGCATAGTACTTTTTAAAATGTTAATAGGCTTGGATAAAAAAAATAGTGGATTTGCCAAGAATTTATTATGTCATACAAACCAAAAATTTATTATCAAACCTGTCGTGTGATCCAACAACATTGCATCATCACAGATTTTCAGCAAGATTTTTTCCGATTGACAATCTCAGCACTTATAAATTTTTTGAACAAATGACAGCAAATGTATCCTGGAAATTACCTTCTAAGCAGCTCAATTTCAAATTATATCACAAGTTTTATTGTTGAGTAAGTTCAAAATGAAATTAATATACTTAAAATGTACAGTAATAATAGGACCCTGAAGAATACATATACAACTCAGATCCAGATCCAAAATTTTAATATAACTTTATACGCTTAATTTTATTAGAAGCTTTATACAAAATCATCACATAAATTCAAATTTTATTATAAATTATACAATTATAAATCTGAGTTTATATAAAAAAAAAATTTTTAAAGAAAAATTTCAAATAAATTTTATTGAAAATTTTAAATACCTTATAGATATTGATGCGCAATATGTATAATATAGTAAGTTTTATGCAAAAATTTGAGTGTATACTACAAAATAAAAGAAAATACATTTTGTTATATATCTCACCACCCAGTGATCGTAAAAAGATGAAACACAGCTCATTGGATTCAACTTGACAAGATGAATCGAATGGTAGTAATTTCGTGTTTCTAGGTGTGATATATGTTGAGCTATACCACACATAGGCACTTTGTATTTTCGTTCACTATGCATTTTTACATTTTATCACATAACTCGGCATCTATCGTGCCTAGAAATATGAAACTACCACCATTCGACTCGTCATATTGAGACAAATCTAATAAGCTGTGTTTCATTTATCTATGATTACTGGATGCCGAAATATGTAATAAAATGTATTTTTTTTTTAATTTTATAAATGAATTTTAAAAAAATTTTTAAAAAATGTCTTTAAACGAACCCTAAAAAATAATTTCTATTAAAAAATATTTCAAGTGTTTTTTAAAACAAAAAAAAAACTCTTTATTAAAAAATATCTTAAAAATTTATTAAATAAAAAATAAAAAAAAACTTTAAAAAATTTTAAATATATATAAAAAAAAAATTCTAATATCCATTATACAAAATGAAAATCTTAAAAGCTAAAACTTGGGCAATGGATAAAAACAATTTTTTCCTTTTAGGACGAAGAATTATAAGCTTAGCGGAACAAACGAATATATTCAAAGAATATACAACCCTAAATGATAATTTTAAGTAAAGATTAGAGAACGAAAATCGCTACCATGATGAAAAGAAAACCGGAGAAAAGAGACCAATATTCGAATCACCGACAAAAGAAAATAAATCTGAGGATAGTGATAAAGAGGATAAGAATGGATATATCTCAGATACAGTTCTCTCAGCGGACGAAGGCTGGATAACAAATAATAATCAGTACCAACATGATCAAAAATTCCAGTTTACATTATTGGAGGATGAGATTAGAGAAGAAGATGATGATGATGAGAAAGAAAAGGAAAAACCCACAACATCACCATCAAAAAAGAAAAATGGGAAAAAAAAGAAGAATAATAATAACAAGAAGAAGTTTTAGAAAGTAATGAAGCGAAGTCACGAAGAGGAATGACTTGCATTTTTAATCAAAGTTACGTGAATTCACGTAAAAAATTAGTTTCCAATAACAAAGATAACAAAAATGAATTTCATTTTAGCTTAGAGTACTTTGTTTAGTTTAGAATACTAACTTTTATCTTTTGTAGGACGAAAGGGGATTTGGTGGAATAAATTGTTTGGGTGTGAGACCTTGGGACTCATCTTTTGAAGCTGCATTTGGCAGACCCCAACACTATTACACATTTCATCTTTTCTCCTACACACTTAAAATTAGAATTCCAATAGTTAGGTTTCACAAATTGCTAGTTTGCGAGTTTTAGTTTATGTTAATTTCTTTGGTAAAGTATTTATTTATTATATTTTCTGTAATGTGTTTTTTTTTGTTATTCTGATTACTCTGTTATAGGGTTGTCACGTGTTTAGCATGGTCGGCTCTAGGTGTCTTGTAATTTAGGATAGTCTCCTTGATGTTAAATCCTAATAAAGATGCATTACAGTTTAAAAAAAAAAAAAAAAAAAAAAAAAAAAAAAAAAAA